CAACATCCTCCGGCAGCGACTAGCCTTGATCTGTCTCCACTCTCTTCTTTCGAGGTTAGACCTTTTGAAACAGCCCAAGTAGTCACCTCACCCTCATGGACCCGGTGTTTACTGGGTATTTCTGGATACAGACAGAGTTTAATTCATCTTGGCACAGAGCTTGAAATTCTAGATTTATCACTGCCCCGAATGTAAGGCAGTTTATTGCTCGCGCTCCGAACGGAACAAATGTAGATCAGTTCGCTGTGGACAAAGGGGCGTGTCAGGCGGGATGGGTTCAGCGCGTGCCAAACCCCCTTCTTCACCGTCTGTTGAAGCATATAAGTGACAAGGACTGTCATATCGTTCCAACCACTCGTTTTCTACTAACTGTTGTCGCATACCTGCTTCAGCAACTGGCAGAGAATGGGTTTGGCGCCGTGGCACAGTCATACTGCCTGACACGCCCCTCCATCCGCAGCGAACCAGACTATACGGTATGGTTTCTGAACTCTGGGCGTTACCTATCATTCGCGACCCCAACTGCACATTTACACTTCACAGCACCCCCTTTCTAATCACTCAAAAGTGAGCGAAAATCAGGCTGAATGGTAGTGGCAGATGCCATTTGGGGCTTTACAGATCAAGCAGGCAGCACGAGACACGCCGCACTGCCACCTTTGTTCCAATCAAGCCAATCACGCTACATGTCTGGCCGTCTCACGTTTGGCTGTTCGCTATCCTTACTTACAATGAGGCTTGAAGCTTATGTGGTTCGCGATGAGCTGGGCATCGACTCCACCCCATGGACGCCAGGTGGAAACCCAGAAGGTGTTCACCTTTCACTGCGCTCCAGCCTCATTTCCATGCCCTTTAAATGATTAAAAGGCAAGTTCCTACAGCTGCGGTCCTAATTTCCAGCCACATGACGCTCCATTTCATACTAGGATACTTTATTCCGCACTATTCCGCACCTTTTCCGTGTCCTGCCTCGCAAATATCCGACAAGGGTAGCCGCGGTTGGGCGTTTTGCAGGATCTGCTTTCCAACAGAAGTCCATAAGAAGCTTTACGTCTTTGGGAACTTTGGGATCGATCGTTGGTCGGAACTGTGGATCAGAGATCTGAAATAGTGTAAATTTATTCATTGAATATATCGAACATTTTAAAAGATTTGATTGTTCAGGCAGATAATTTGGAAAGTTTCAGGCGCAGTACCCGAAAATACGATCGGCTTCTAAGCGCAATAC